CCTCCCATCATCCCGTGTCACTCGCCACCCACCCATGAACCTTGTCCAACCACCCTTGTCCCCCATCCACCCTGCATCGCCCCCTATACTTCTAAAATATTATGCCGTATTATTTTGTCTCAAAACATCTTTTTCAATATTAATTTTCAAATATTAACAATAGAAACTAATTTTTTAAGAAAATATTTTCCTTCCTACCAAACAACAGAAAATATGGTAATAAAATAATTTTCCTAGGAAATCATTCCCTTGGAAAATAGTCCTCTAGGAAAATATTTTTTCCTTAACCAAACACACCCTTAATATTGGTTTCTGGATAATAACAATGATCAATGTTTTGGATTTGTACTCTCCCCGAATACAGTTGTTCACACTAAAAAAAATCTCATTTTTAGGAAATGAGTTAAAATACCCGAGTTTCAAGTTGGCCTTAGAGATGTATTTGGGGGTCACTCTGTTCATGTCAGCAATGGTCTTAATCATATTTGTAGGATATTTTAGACAGTTCTTCATAGTTTCTTTGAAGTGGGCAGATGAAAACAAGGGAACTAATTCCGGCCAAAGAAAGCATTTATTTTTGTATCTTTATTATCTCAAGTCACCAACATTCTAGAGCGAGATGATACGTTTATTTAAGTAATTAGTGGCAACACATTTCATCAATAAAACAACTCAGTAAAATTTCTCGAAAGTAGGGTCTGGGAATGTGTGTATTACCCATATTTGGAAAAGGAGGTTCTCAATAGACCCCTAACTCAAATAATAGGCAAGCAGAGTCAACAGGCAGGTTAGGCAAGTAGGTCACATGCATGAACGAATCACCTTACCCCTATTTGAAATTAGAGAGATTGTTTTCAATAGACACTCGCAACTCAATTAATAGGCAAGCAGAATCAACAGGCAAGTTAGGCAAGTATATGTCACATGCACGAACAAAGCACAAACAAAGTATGAGAAAAGAGCAAAGAGAGAAAAGAAGTCCATGTACCAATTCAAACAACAATATCCACAACCAAGAGTTGTAAGCTATTACCAAAGGCAAAACGGAACTGCCAACCAGAATTATGACCTAAGGCTCCCACGACTACCCAATTGCCGTTATCTTAGGTCTCTAGTTATTCCTATCTACAGTCATATCCTCGGTGAGGTCCCAGAGTTATGTAAGTCTTGCCTATTCAACTCTGTCCAATTCTTCCTAGGTCCAATTCTTCCTAGGGTCTACCTCTTCCCTCTCTCACTCCCGAAACTACAATCCCCTTTCACCTCCTAACAGGGCCTCAATACTCCTCCTAACATGTTCGTACCACCTAAGCTTCCCACAGCTTTTCCTCCACCGGCGTCATTCCCATTCTTCATTGAATAATCCCGTGGTTTTGTTTGTTATGTCTTGCATGTTGAACAATTCATGTAAATTTATTCTTCAAATGTAGTAACTCGACTAATTCTGGAAAAGAAAAATTGGATGGGCATGCAGATGCAGTTCCTTTTAGTTTCATTCACACTGTTTAATTGCTGGATGTATACCATCTATTTTCATTCTTATAGTATCATTGTTTGTGTATAACATGGTAGGTAGGAGAGTTTGGAGAGCTGAGTGAAGGGGCATTGGAGAGCTTGTGTGATGAGTTAAAGGCAGTGAGCTTTAGTAAGCACACTGTCTTAGCTCGGGAAGGAGATCCAGTTGATGAGATGGTGATCGTAGTGCAAGGCAAGCTCCGGAGCTCCTCCAGGGATGGAACGGTAGCCTCTCCAACAAGGACTGCTGCTCCCAATGGTTGCCGAAATATGTTGTTGAAAGACGGTGAGGTATTATGGGGGAAAGAACTTTCCACCTGGGTTCATGCAGACCCACATCATTGTCTATCCCGCCTCCTTATCTCCCCCGCAACCATCACCGCGGTTACGGACGTTGAAGCTTTTGTTCTCATGGTCGAAGATTTGCAGTGTGTGTTTGAAAGGGAGCACGCTGCTCGTTTCATTCAATCGTTTTGGCGTTTTACAAGGGTTTTGCGTTCTAGGATGCCATCAAGTACAAATACCTGACTGACGAGAGCTATATATGAACGCCATGAAGTGTGTGTGTGTATGTGTGTGTGTGTGTGTGTGTATACACAGAAAATTACTTGCGGGTGACGGGAGTTTTGTCGAAATAACTCTTAGGTCCGTCTATTTTCAAAAAGACAACTGAGGTACTTATATTTTGTTGTAATGACTGGGAGGAGACATTTCATCCAATATTTCATCCATAAATGTTAATAAATGTATTTTTTTCCTATTTTTCCATTACCATTTTTTCCTATTTTGCCATTACTCGATTTTTTCTTTTTTACAAAATATTTTATTTCATTTATTTTAATATAATACAAACAATTTTGAATTTTTATTCGATTTTATAGAAAAAATTCTAAAATAACACTTTAAAAAAGAGTAAAAAAAAAAGAAAAACAAAGAAATAAATAAAGAAGTGACCTAAGATTTATTACCTTAAAACATTTAGAAAAAAATAGGAAAAAAATACATTTATTTACGTTTATGGATGAAATATTGGGTGGAATGTCCCCTCCCAGTCATTACAACAAAATGTAAGGACCTCCGTGGTCTTCTTGAAAATAGAGGGACCTGAGAGTTATTTCGACAAAACTTGCGTCACCCGTGAGTAATTTTCTGTGTGTATACACATATATTCCTTCCAAATGTCTATATATACTTGTTGGTGATCCTGTTCAATTTTATTTTTCTATCTTTTATACTCTGTATAAAAAATAAAAATAAAAATGAACCAAGGAATTATTAGTCTATCTATGTGAATACCTTTTTTTTGTCCAAATCAATAGTCCTTAAATATATATGGAGTAAGTATGCCCCATATACAGCAAAGAATTTGCCTTGTTGTTAGAGGTATGTTGAGTATGTGCATATAATCATATATCACTCTTTATTGTTCAGCCTGATGAGATTAAAATACAATTACATGTTCGAACTAAATTATTATATACACATAGGGAGGAAAGGTAAGTATCACTTTTCACATCACAAGTAGTTGGATATTGATTACATATATGTTTCAAAATTAAAATTTATGATTCGTATAAACTAGAAATCATCTTGAATATTGGTGTAATAATTTTGAATAATATGTTAAAATTTTAGATATATTCAGATGATTTTTTCCTCTTTAAAGCTTTAAGGTACTTGTGAGTTGTGACTAAGTCACCATAATCACCATGCCATATACGATAAATTATCATTAGTTCCATGTACATATAGGACAAAGTCACCAAATTTGTAAGTTCGAACTGAATTTGTACTCCCTCTTCCAGTTTAACTTTCCTAAGTCAAATTGACGATTTTTTTTATTTCAATTTGTATTGCATATTCGTACAATTAAATTAATTTATAGATAAAAGTAATATACTCCATAATAATCTAACCAACAAGGTCAAGTACTTTCTATTATAGCTAAAGATCGTGTGGTCCAACTATATCAACGTGACTCTCCCAAATAGGAGGTCACAGTTTTGAAGTCTAGTGGATGAATATTAACTCTTTACGTAGGTTGAAAAAATATATTATTCCCTCCATCTCGTTTGAATCTTCCCAATCTAACTTTGTACGGGTTTTAACGTAATATTAAATTACTTTGACTTTTCCGTTTTGCCCTTTAACTTTTCAGTCTTCATCGTTCTTTCGCATGTCAAACCCACCACCATGCCTTCCCCATTCGATATTTTTTGTCACAAACACTTTCATCTGAACCCCACAGCCACCCTCATCCCCGACCCCCCTCTCTTGAAACCTAGATGCGAAAAAGAAAATGACGAAAAAGAGATTTGTCTCAAAATACAAAATAAAATAAAAATAGAAATTGAAGAGATAAGAAAATGTTTGTTTCAAGCCCTACATATAATATCTTTAGCTTTGGATCTCCCAGGCCATTTTGATTTTTGCCAAATTAGAGGCCCTGTTTAATATTGAGAAGTCACACCTAATCACATCGTAACTGATGATTCAAAAGAGAATCCAAAATGGAAAGTAGGAAGATTCAAAATGGACGAATCGAGTAGAACATATACTTTCTTATAACAGAGTTAATAATAATCCAGATAGTAACTTTAAATTTTTTAAAGCGGGGGACCGGATAGGTATGTACGGAATCGATCTGGACCCGTCCGTTCCAATTCGGTTGAGGTACAAAGTCTGTTTAATTCGGACCGACTCGACCACCTTTTAAAAAGAAAAGGCATAATCTACGCGATCGAACGTTGCCCCGTCGCCGCCGGTGTTCATCGTTTCCGGTCATCGACTCATCGTTCTCTTCCGATTCCTAGGAAAAGCTATCGTCACTTGCTGCACTCCATTTTCTCAAGTTCCAGGTAAATCTGCATATCCCGTCTGCTGCTTTTATTCGGTCGGTTTCAGTCCCGCCTAAATCCCGATTCCTCGCAAAGATCTAGAGAAGTCAGACGATGGGATCGAAAAGCCAGAACTTTCAGATTTTCATTGAATCCCCCGACCTCAAAATCCCTACCCGGGCCCTGAATATTGAGACCTCGATCCCTGATTTCACCGTGAAGGATCTCAAATCATCCCTCTTGCCCGAAACCCTAACCCTAATACAGGACTCTTTCTATTTCACCTTGAATGGGAAATTGATCCCAGATCCTACCCCTGTGAAAAGTTCCATTATTTCACCTCTCTCCACCTTAACCATGCGTCTCCGCCTCGTGGGTGGAGGAGGTGATGGTGGCGCCACAGGTGCGGAGTCTCGCGACTGTTACCTTAAAATGTATGCCATCAAGAAACCCGACAAAATTGACCCGAACGAGCGTAGGTTATCAAAGTGGTTGAATTGCACATTGTCAAACGAGCCATTGAAGCACCCTGTGGTGATCGATAAGCTTGGGAATTTGTTTAACAAGGAGGCATTGGTTGAAGCCTTGCTGAAGAAACAAGTGCCTAAGCAGTTTTCATACATAAAGGGACTGAGAGATATGGTACCCGTAGAGTTGTCATTTATTCCAGGTATGGAGGACAGTGCCTTGTGTGGTGGTACAAGGTTTCAGTGCTCTGTATCGGGGTTAGAGTTTAACGGAAAGTATAAGTTCTTTGCACTCAGGACCTGTGGGCATGTTTTCAGTGCCAAAGCTTTGAAAGAGGTAAAATCGTCTGCTTGTTTGGTCTGTCACAAGGGGTTTGTGGAGAATGACAAGATTGTGATAAACGGGAGCGAAGATGAGGTTGCAGCATTGAGAGAGAGAATGGAGGAGGAAAAGGTAAAACTTAGAGACGGTAAGAAGTCAAAGAAGGGTAAGAATGGGGATGTTGTTCTTAGTGTAGAGGGTGGTGAGGTCACACCACACTTGAGCGGGGGCAAACGTGGGATTGATGATAATAATGTTGGAGAGAAGGGAAAGTTGGAACTGAACAAAAAACACGGTCTTAATGGTAAAATAGAAGTGAAGAATGTTGTGAATGGACATGCGAGGAAGCGGTTTAAGGCTGTTGATAATGCACCAGCTAATGCTACCAAGGAAGTGTATGCTTCTATTTTCACATCATCTAGGAAATCTGATTTCAAGGAGACTTATTCTTGTCGATCACTGCCGCTTGGAAGAAATTGATGAGCTGAGCTGACATATCTCCGAGATGACAAAATAAAATCGCGACTTTTCCCTTCTTATACTGGATTATTGTTGTTGTAATGCCCGGAGTGGTTGATGTCTAGTGACTTGCACTCCCTTTCCCAGCATCTCTCTTTTTTCGGTTTCGACACAGACTCAAACTCAATAAATTTATGCTTTATGTTGTATTTTATTTTTGTTTTCCAGGCATTCCCATAATAGTGATTATTGAAATTTAAAATAATAAATCGAAGTTTTGTAAGGGTATATCGTACTTCTTTAGTGAGTTGTATAGTTGAATGTAAATATTTTCCACAGCTCCGTTAGAGGGTTGAGAGTGACAAATGTAACATCCCAACTCTGTATAGTTGGTATGGACTTGAAGAAGATGATTCATACATGATACATGCCAAGGATTGTCACACAAAACTCGAAAACCTAAATTATAACAAAAAGAAGTCTTCAGCTGCTCAATTTCCATGTGTTCAATTCGGCAAAACATCATTTCACAAAAGCTCCAATTTTGAGCTTCACAAAAATGTCGTTTGAAAAAGTAAATCGTGGTACATATAAGCTAGAATCTCTATTTTTCTTTCTAGTGCAAAAACTCAAGCCATCCATTTTCCAAAGTGCAGAAGCCAACAAGATGTAGTGAAAAAAACAATGTGCCCTAGAGTTTTTATATAATACCCCCGTGCTTCTGTGCTAAAATAAATTGAAAAAATAACAGCTCCAAAACATTTAATATCAAGCATGAGACTTGGGATGAAATCAAGCAAAGCATTCCCAATCATGTATTCTTTCTTCTCCAGTTCAACTACCCTCTTTAAAAAAATGAATACATAATGTTAGGTTTGTAACTTCAGCAAAATGGAGTATGTAGTAGCAAATTGTGGACCAAGACACAATTGCCAATAAAGATCCGGGATTCAAATTATCATTGACTGATTCAGCTGTTTTCCTAAGTTACCCACACTCATTGATGTAGATTATCAAGTACCCATAAGAAGGTGCAAAGCAAGCATCATCCTAGCCTTGCCTCTCTTCGTAGAACCTGGAACATGAAAACTCATTGGTCTTAAAAGCAAAATCAACAAACCCCAGTTAAATCCTACAAAAAGTAGGATCTGTGGAGGTATGTGTATGGGGAGGGGGGGTGTTACCCTACTCAAAAGTAGAGATGTTGTTTCCAAGAGACCCTTGGCTCAAACATGGAAGCATAGACAAGGTATCCGCAGTAGTACAAACAAAGTTATAACACGGAGACAAGAAGCACACATACCAACATAGGGGATTGGTGTTTAAATCATTTCAATTATTATTATTAAACTGTAGAAAATTGTACTATGATAAAATTCAGAGGCATTTCGATGATTAATGGGATGTAGAAAATTGGAATATGAGAGAGTTTACTCTTGCCAGTAGAGTATGTAATAAACTGGCAAGGCTTTGATCCTTCCCACTCTTGGTTCCCAACTATTGACTTAATACCACTTTTGGTTCGTTCCACAAAACTAGACTGAAAATTGGCTTTACAAGTCATAAGTGAGGAGTGGTCAGGAGTCCATAGGTGTGATTTTTAAAGAAGCGTTGAACCTCATATTCAAGTCAACTGAAACAAAAGCCAGTTCATGGAATGGAGTGCATAAGATGCGAGAAATTACCTCTTCGGAAAACTTAATCAAAATGGTAGTTCGAGGTCGCTGCTGCCCTTCTACTGGGACAAAATGAGCCGTTACTACTGCTGGGAACCCGGCGTTGTCAAGTACACCCTTTAACAAGAAAAAGAAAATGTATATCAAGTTACGGGGCATTAGATATGGTTGGTATAATCAGATATCCTTTGTTAGTAATCCTTTGCCTGTTCAGCATATTTTGAGAAGAAAGTAGGGAACATAAAAGTGAGGGAGAAAATACACTAAAATTTGTCTTCACAAGGATAGAACTATAAAAGGAAATTCAAGTTTTCTTTTCTTCTATTTCTTTCCTGTTTTTTTTCAATCCATTATTCCATTCACACAAAATCAAATTATGCTGTCTTTTCTCTCATCCTACTTTCTCTATTCTTTTCTTCCTGATTATCTTTTCATTCAAAGACAGCATTAGTGCACCCCTTGAAAAGAAAAGAAACGTCTCATTTTATGAGATTTGGTTAGTATAAACATAAACAGTTCTGCTCACACTACATACCCTTACGATCCCTGCAGCAAAAGCTCCACAATTGAAGGCACCCATATCCTTAGGAATCGAAATAAATCTATTATTAAGCAGTGTGTTAGCCAGGAATCAGTTGATGTAAAATTTACAGCATGGATTAACAAAAAAAAATATCATCAGGAAGGAAATGCTACCTGTTCACAAGAAGTTCCTTTTCACTGATCATATATTCATCTTCATGTTCAGTTCCCTTCTCAAGAGAGTCGGCAATCTGATTCAATGCAAAAATGCAAAATAGATGAAACATCTTCTTTTCCTTAAAATATTTTAAAACTGAACACCAAGCAACAGAGTAGAGGTATATATTTCACTAAACTAAGCCGAAAGAAATACTAAAGTTATAAATAAAGCTTCCTAAAAAACTGTCAACATAAGCATTCTAAATTTTCTGATTTTAATACATGAAAAATAAATATGCTCACGTGATGTTAAAAGGAAGGTGTTTTTTTTGAAGGGATTGCAAGCACATACAAAGTCAGTGATAACTTGATTTCATTAGGAGAGCCTTGGCAAGCTCTAGAACTTAGAGATTGGGAAAAAGAGTAAATACTAAAACTAACCTTTCCAAACAAGACCTTCCATACAGTGCTGTGCACGAAGGATAAAATACCAATTAAACGTGTCTCCCTTCTATTACCCTGTAGTATTAAGCCAACGGTATAGAAACCATGATCAAGACTATGAATTACAACTTAAAGGCATTCAAGTGGCATTGCGGTTTGTGTGTGTGTGTGTGTGTGTGTGTAAGAATGGATTTTCAAGAATTCCTAAATCATTTACATCTTCCAAAGCCTCCATATATTTCTTATGGCAAGGGTCTTCATAGTAACAGTTTCTATATCGACTACTAGGGGTAGAGGTATGGCTTGGTGCTCGGTATGTTTGGCTTCTTTATACATAGGTGAAAGGAAAAATTGTCGAACACCTTTTATAACTAGATTGACCAAATTCATGGAGGAAATATGTGTAGCTACATTGTCTATGATGTACTCCGTATTTAAAGTGCGGCATTGTTGAATCAAGCTGGATAAAAGATTTTGATGATTTGATGTTTTTTTTACCTTTTCTCGATGGCAGAGAAGTTCCAAAACTCGCGCCCCAACAGCATAACCTGCATCCTCAAGCCTGCTCCAGATCCAAAAATAATCGTTGTGATTGTTATGTAATGAAATGATCATTAAGTTATTTTAAGTCTGTAATTCGTTCCTGTATTCTATAAGTTTCATCTATATGAAGCCATAAATGCTCAAAATATTACTACGGCGTACTGCAGTAATTCATAAAATAACATGAGAAAGAAACGAATTAGAGAAAATCAAATATCACCTCCTCTCCAATTCGGCTATGTTATCAACCTGAGTCTGGTTGTATTGAACTAGCTCTGAGAACAAGAACGCAAATGCGCTCAAGCTGACCTGTGAAAAATATTATTTCTCCGAAACTCACTCAAAAAATACAATCTTCTTTTCACATAATAAGAACTCGCAATTCAATGTTCAGATCTTATTTTCCAAAGAAACTACATTACTAAATGCAATCACAAAAACTGGTTTAAGAGCTCGAAATTCAAAGGATTGACTTTTTATAGATTTACTGCAGATACAGAAGAAGATTGCGAGAGAGATTACCTCTTGTTTCCCCTTGCTGAGGGGTTTATCGAGAACGTTAGTGTATTGTTTAATTTTGCCAACTCCAATCATCCTCACTCACTGTGCGGAGAGATCGAAAAGATATGTGCCTCTCTGCTTCTTTATCTCAGTTTGACATACAAGGACAGACGCAAATGAAACCAAGGATACCGGCCGTTCCGCCGCCGGAAAAAATCATCAGCGTGGTGCAACCTACCGTACTGCCGGCGACGCCTCTCACCTTCGTCGAGTAAAGCTGATTGAATTGGATCCCTCTCCTGGTATGGTTAATTCTCGCTAATTCAAGGTCGACCCCAAATTGTTTAGGTACTTTACATTAAGACCCTTTTTGGACCTTTTTGGTAGTATGCGACTATGCGAAATTGGGAATATACTCTTCTCAAACAGATTAGTGAGTAAATACTGAACCGATCCCAAAATTTTTTGAAAAATTCAGATTATCGAACTAAAAAATATCGAACCAATAAAATGCCGAAACAAAATCATACCATATCAATTTTGGGATTAGTACAAGGTAACTTTCCATATCAAAAAATCCCGAAACACAACATTTATATGAATATGTTATAAAAATAACGGTGAGGTTCTAATGACACCGGAGCATGTTGCCACTAGCGGTGTCACTGGCATTTTGGGGCAGCTCCGATGCTCCGCTCGCAAAATTGACGATTCTTACCCCCATAACCCAACCCCTAAACCCCCACCCTACCTCCACCCCTGCACCCCACCCCAACCCCGCTAGGAGTAGGATGGGGGTTTAGAGAGTGGGCTAGGGGGGTAGGAACCGTTAATTTTGCGAACGGAGCACCGAAGGTGCCCCAAAATGCCAGTGGCACCGCTAGTGGCACCGTACTCCGATGTCACTAGAACCCCACCGTAAAAATAATGATATTTTTATATTGGCAAATCTATTATGATCAAAATGCTACCAATTGGTTTGTGGCCTCAAATTATTACTCTTTCCATTCCAAATTAAATTATTTATTTATTATTAACAAAATCAAACCAAAATTTACTTAATTTCATATTTTCATTAGTCATTTCATTCGTTGGCTAAAAAAATGTCATCTTACCTCTTACTTTATAAAACTTTTGTATTGTTTTAGATATGTAAATCCTATTTTTTTAATTCCATCCAAATTCTCAAATAAATTACTGTAAAAATAACTTCAGTCAAATATCGTATAAAGCAAAAGATTTAAATTGGGACAAAAGGAGTATAATTATACAAATGGACCAAAATGTTACCTTTGGCAAATCTATTATGTTCTCCATTTCTATAAGCTCCAAAACCAGAATCAAACCGATATAATCAAACCGAACGATACAAAGCCCCCAGAATGCATCGGTCCAAAAACCGAACGATTAATTACAACGAGAAGAGACTTGAACATGCAAAAATGGAAGCTCCTCTTGATTCATGTGAAATCTAATATCTCAAAATTTTAAGGATTTTTTTAAGAGCTTAGATAATGGAACGAAAGAGCATCCAAACCAACATCAAGGACCAACGAATACCCACAACCGCCCCCTTCTTGCAGCTAATAAATAGTTTGAAAGACGACTTAGGGAGGGAGAAAATGGGAAATTAACTTCTGCGTCTTTTGTTCTGCTGTTTGTCTTGCGCACGGTACCTTTCTCGTCGTTCTTCCCTCTGGCGCTTCTTCAAGAATTGCTCCTCCTTGGCCCTCTCTGCTGCAGCTGCTTTCCTCTTCTGTCGCTCTTTTTCTTCACGCTTTTGTTCCTAGGAAATGCCAAAAAAATAAAAATTAAAATGAGAAACCATCCAAAAGTGGTCTGGATACTGCATATAAATTTCCAGGGGAAGACAAACCTTATTTCTCCGAATAACTTGAACATGTTGTATGATCCGTTGCAGTTTCTTCTCACGAGGTTCCCTCACAACTGCCCTTTTCTTTTCCAGAGAAACTCTGCTCTGACGTGGAGTGTTTTTAAGTTTGATATGGAAGGGCAGTTGTGCTTGTAGTGAGTTGGGAATAACAATGGGATTGAACTTCTTTGGCTTTCTTTCAATTGGCTGTTGAATGGAACAAACAAACAAAAAAGGAAAGAATTTAAGCACCAACATACATACATATAAGTGTGCAGACAGGTGAAAGTTGCCAATGCCATTGATGATTGATCATGCACCTACCTTATACAGTGAGTCTTTGTTGAGTGGTACAGGCAGATTGTTCTCTCTCCTCAACTCAGAAGTTGTTTTCATTCCTTGCCAGATCTTATCGCGTGGCTGCAATGCAGTAGTCAACGGATTGAAAAAGCAAGGAACGTCAACTTTAGTCCAGGCACGCAAGAAAACGATGTCGCTCATCAGAATCCTATCTTCGAAGGTGCACCTAGCAATGCCTTCTTTGGGAAGTCCACCCTTCTTTTTGTCTTTATTACCAATCTCTTCTCCAGCAGCCTTTTTGAAATTTAAATTTAAATGAAAAAAAATTAATAACAGTCTGGAGTAGTTCACGTCAAAGAGCATATGAGCTTAAAATTTGAAGAGAAAATACATTCGGAAGTCAAAAAGATGAGATGACGCAAAAATACACCATAAAAACGGAGAGCTAAATGAGGTTCGTTTGAAAAAAAGATTTGAATTTAAATAATAATAATAATAATGATAATGAAATAGGCATAAGACCCTTCTTAAACGGGAAATACAAGATGAGGATAAATACCTTTTTCACCTGCCCACGGATTCCACTAACAGTCCGAATAGCTGCACCTTCATACCTGGCTATTTCAAGATCTGACGTGAACATATCCTTGATAAGTGCTGTCTTCTTGAAGATTTTACATGGGTATCCAACTAGCTTGATCTTTTTCACTATCCTAGCAGCATGATTGAACTCTAGCACCGCCCCTGTCGCTGTAATCCTAAATTCTGCCTGAATGATGAAACAAATGTAACAGTACACCTATTTTAGATGAATTAATAGTATTCCATACATGACACGGACAACACTTGATGTGTTTTTATAACAAGGACATAGATCATATCTACTTATTTTGTCTTTCTTTACTTGCTTTGGGGTAGTTGATTACAACATAGAAAAGCATACAAAAGTAGTTCAAATTGTTTTAGTTAAAAGCATAAACACACGACTCGAACTCCAAGGCGCTTAAAATGAAACAGACAACAACCTGATTGTTTGATAATCTCTGGACAGCAATCATTCCAGTCCGTGGTGGGGCCAGAGGACCCCAAAACATGGCAAGACAGTGCATGTGTTCAGGTGTGTATTTAAGCATGCGGTAACGACCATTCATGTCCTCGATAGCATAAACTGGAGTTGTTTGGTAACGCCTCCATCCAATAGAAACAATGATTGGATCTCTCGTCTTCAGTACTTTTTTGTGCCATCGGTGCCTCTTTAATCGAACCTACAAGGGAAAATACATAGAGATCAAAATCCATGCAATTCTAAAACAAGCAAGCTAAACGTCCCCCCCCCCCCACACACCCACAAACCCCAATATTTAAAGGAGAAACTGAAAATATTTTACTCCTTGAGTTCAATAACAGAATTTTGCATTTCATCAAATGAAGCTAATGTTTCAGTTAAATAACTAATAACCTGCCAAAAAA